AACTCAGTCATCTTTCAGTTCCCAGTGACAGAAATATCATTCAAAATAAGAAAAAATAAGGAATCTGTTGGCTCATGCAACTGAAAAGCCCAGGAATGGCTTTAGGCCAGGCTAGATTTAGGAATTCAAAGATAGTATTATGGCCTTGTCTTCCCGATCCATCCCTTGGTTCTGTTTTTTTTTTTTCCATGCCGGCTCTATTTCTAGACAGGGCTCCATTCCGTGAAGGCAACACAGCCATCAGTTTCTTCAGGTCCACATGGTCCTTAGAATTCAAGATCCCTGAGGAAATAAGACTTCAATTGACCTCGTGTGAACTGGGTGCTCTTCCTTGAGGCCAGTCACCCTGGAATGGAATGAGAAGCACCACAGAAGGGAAAGGAGTGATTTCCTAAAGGAAGGGATTCCAGGCAAACAATGACTTGCCACCTGTATCCCTCTCTAAAGTGATCTCTTTTCTAGATGCACCTTAACTAGTTTCAGTTTCAGGAGATGCCAGGCTCAGCCTGTTGTCTTATTTTGCGCATCTTGCTGCAATGGCCCAGAACTGCTCTATTCTTTACCTGGCTAATACCAACTCGTTCTCCAAGATCTAGCTCATGATACTTCTGTGGGATGCCTTTCCTGACCTTCCTAATCTGGGCTGGGCATTCATTTATGTGATCCTATAAGCATATCAAGGATACTCTTGACATTATACAACATGGGTGGCACTGTTTGCATGCATACTTCTCTCTCTTACCACATTTGCTTTTTGGGTTTTGTGATTGCACAATGCTTTGCACATAGTACTCATTTCACAAATGTTTGTCAAATGACTGAAAGATAATCTTAGTGTTGGTAAGATCCTGTTCTGCTTCTCCCATTTAAAAGATGCTTCAGGCTGGACGTGGCAGCTCCCATGGAGGCCAAGGCAAGAGGATCACTTGAGTCCAGGAGTTCAAAACCAACATGGGCAACATAGGGAGACTCCATCTCTATGAAAGTATAGAAATTATCTGGGTATGGTAGCATGCAACTGTACTCCAAGCTACTTGGGAGGCTGAGGCGGGAGGATTGTTTGAGCCCAGGAGGTCAAGGCTGCAGTGAGTTGTGATTGTGCCACTGTACTCCAGCATGAGTGACAGAATAAAGAGACTCCCATCTCAAAATAAATACATAAAATAAATAGAAGTTGCTATAAACATCTTGACTTTTTTATTTAGGAGTAAGATATAATCTAACAAAACAAAACATCACATTAACACATGTAACTTATGAAATTTGTGACATGAAATATGAATAATATTAAAACTGAATTATGCTAAGCATCTGGCCTTTGAATATGTTATAGTCCTATTTGAAACACTGGTGGATCTGATTAGCTAGGGAAAGGGTTCTTAACCTAGAATTCACAGACCTCTAAGGGATTCAAGGATAGAATCCAGAAGATACATGAACTCGGATGGGAAAAACTAACTTGAATTTCACTAGCCTAAAACTCAAACTTAGTATTTCCTTCAATGACGAGTGCAGACGACAGTCCACAGTTGTACTAGCTAGTAACTGACTTTGTCAACAGAAATCAGGTATTTTCATGTTACATCACAGTTGTTGCAGAGATCTAATGTTTTATGCTACTTCCACACCACAGCAGTTATTGCATACACTCATAGATCTGGCTATTAAATGTACACCAATAACTACCACATCACAAATTAACGTATTTTGGTAGCTCACACTTCAGTGTAACTGGTTTCCTTTGTAACCCCATGGATTTCCTTTTCTGCATTTAAAAACATTATTCTGGCTGGGCATGGTGGCTCACATCTGAAATCCCAGCACTTTGGGAGGCCGAGGCAGGTGGATCACCTGAGGCCAGGAGTTCAAGATCAGCCTGGCCAACATGGCGAAACCCTGTCTCTACTGAAAACACAAAAATTAGCCGGGTGTGGTGGCATGTACCTGTAATCCCAGCTACTCAGATGGCTGAGGTAGAAGGATCACTTGACCCTCAGGAGGCGGAGGTTGCAGTGAGCCGAGATTTGGCCACTGCACTCCAGCCTGGAAGACAGAGTGAAACTCCATCTCAAAACAAACAAAAAAGCATTACTCTGAGGAGTCCATGACACAAAAAATTAGTGATCTAGGAAATCACTGAAAATGACATGAGACCAAAGTGTGATGATCTGACCCCCTTGAAATTTAACTTATCTTTCCCTCTTTCTGTCTGGCTACGAAGAGATCACAGGCCTTTTGGACAATCCTAAAACTATAAACCTCAGGAAAGATGTCCTCTCTCAGACTGACATTTCGTCTGAATTGAACAGCCATGTAAGTAAAGTCTCAAAGGGTCTCTGTGCTAGGTTGGACAAAAGAAATAAATGCATTGGGACCTACTCAGAAATTCACAACTAAATGCTTTAGCTTTGGCTTTAAATTAATCTCCTTGTGTAGTTATCTGCATGACATCCACTAGAACAGGATTTTAGTTATAGAAATTCTTACAACATGCTGTATAAAGTTATGGGATCTGACAGAGGTAAATTCCTCATTGGAATTTCTGTTCCCCAGGAATTTCTCCTTGGTATTGGTCTGGGTTCCAGTAGGAAACAGATGGTTCTTTCATTATGATGTTATGAGGAGATACTATACAGAAGTATAGGTATAGGATACCCACAGAGGAAACACAGTAGCTTCAGCAATTCCAGGATAGTAGCAGCAGAACTGACATCATCCTTGGCCAGAAAGTATGAGTGCAGGGACTGGCAACCTGGAAAGCGGGGGAGGAGTCTGGGAGAAGTAACCTTTGAGTGCTGAGGCAGCCCCCCAACCTGGGGAGAAGAGCCAAGAAATAGGCACCCTACCATCTTCTGATCTCTGGTCAAGACACTCCTTGGCCAAACCCACTCAGAAGCCAGGAGGCATCGGAGGCATAGGAGTGGTCCTATGCCTCCAGTGGAGCTGGAGGGGAAAAAGAGAGATCCAGCATATGTGGCAAATTGCTGCCATAGAACTTAACACGCTATTTGATGGTGCAAGAGGGTAGAATTGTATTTTTATTCATTGTTGTGCCTAGTAAAATTCTGGTACATGGTTAAGTACTCACTGTTACTGAGTGAATAAACATACTGCTGAAACAGTAAAAGCAAATTATCTACTACGCAATTAGGAATTACTTTCAGACATAGGATATTTAAAATGTCACTCAAATACTGCAGCATGATTCAGCAATAAATTCTATTCCATATACCAGGTAGATAAATGTCACAGCTTTAAAATATAGTTAAGTACAGTTGGTACAGTTGATCCTCATCATTCGCAGATTCCGTATTTGTGAATTTGCCTAACCTAAATTTTGCAGTGCAGCAGAAAACTTGCTGAGCTTGAACATACTCTCAGCTGAGGTTGAACAAGGCCATGTTCCAACTCTCATACTGTAAACGCGTCCTTTTTACTTGAATGCCATGGTTTCTGCATTTTTAAAAAAATTTTACTGTTTAAAATGGCCCCCAAGCATAGTGCTAAGGGCAAAAAGCTGTTCCTAAGGGCAAAAAGGCTGTTATGTGCCTTATGAAGCTTATGTGTTAGATAAGCTTCATTCAGGCATGAGTTACAGTGTTGTTGGTCATGACTTCAGTGTTAATGAATCGACTGTATTAAATAAGGCGTCTTTACAACAGAAACTTACGTGTTGGCTGCTTGATGAAAATGTGACCAGTGGCTTGCAGAAGCCTAGCCCTGTATTTCCCCTACGTTCCCTATTTGCTAATTCAGTGTTTGCAGTGACTTTATAGAACATAACTATCTTGAAAATGAGAATCAACCATACTTGCTGTTTTCCAGTTCCTAATAAAGATTAAAAAAAATTCAATTTACAAAAGACACAAGATTTTTTTTGTCAGCAGCTAATTGATACTCAGATGTAAAACCAGAAAGAGGGAGGAAACACCAAAATCCATCACCACTGCATAATTTCAACATGATATATTAAAATTTATTACTTCCTGAATAGTATTCAACTAAATCTATATTATTTCATTAATGCTATCTAGGACATACGGTTTGAAAATTAAAGAATCCAGTAAGAGGGAAAAGGAAAAATACCTTATTTAATACATTGACTTTAAGAACAATCACATACGCATTATTCTTACTATCTGATTTTAGCCTCTGGGAAATTCAATCCTGCTTAGTTAGGCCAACTGATATTCTCTACAATAAACCCTACATGATCAAAAAGCTTCGTGCTTCTACTTACAGCAGCATAGCAAATCTGAAGTTCTTTTAAAAAAAAATTACCATTCTATTAACAATTATAAATAATTTTCCATGCTCTGGTACAAGAATATTTAATGTAAGCCAAGAAAGATAGCCATCTATTCCATTGAGGATTGTAATAGAGGCAGCTTTTGATTTTTATATTCGTTTAAAGTACACAACTTCAATAGTAAAATAGAAACTGAGCCGAAATTTCTAATTCACTTTCTAACCGTAGCAAGACTGATATTTCCCCCCAGGGATCACCAAATATTTATAAAAATTTGTACTAACATTCTGTAAGAATCCACACACACCAGTAAGAAGCTGACTTTCCTGTTGGCCATGCTCCAAATGTCTTTATAGAACAAAGTACATATACTATAAACAATTTCAGAATATTGAGTGTCTGGGTATTATCAAAGAAAAGTAAAGGTGAATAAAATCATTTTCATTTCTGAAAAAACACCACTTTTATACCCCAAAATAGGTATCAATGTTACTGGTGATAAAGAAACTCAGAAGCTTACTGTGGAAATAAAGTAGTAGAGCTCTCCGAGTGGGAGGGGAAAATACCCAGGCACTTCATCATGAACATTTGCTAAAAAGAAACTCTTAAAGTGATTGCAGCCTTGACATAGTTGCATTAACATTAAATAGCCATATTTCTGTCCACTTATAGGGACTACTATAAAGAAGCAATCAAGCCATGTTTAATAAAATGTGTCAATGATACAAAAAACGTATTTTTCACAATTAGAAAAATTTAACATCTTTAATTCAAACACTTAGATGAGAAACAGCCTAAAGAAAAGACTTACATACACTACCTATTTAAACCACAAAGCAAAATGCTCTCACTGTGACTGAAGGAAAATCATTTAATATTATTAGTTTATAAAAGTGTAACTCCAAGGAATGATTATGCTCATAAGTAAACAAGAGTTTTCCAACTAAGATGTACAAGACATAAAATCAAACTGCAAAACTAGTTCAAAGCAATTAGAGTCCAATAGTTCTGTTTTATTTTATTATCTTTATTTTAAATTTGGTATTTTCGAATAGGAAATTATCTTTCACAGCAATGCCTCCTGGTCTGATAATACAGTATCTCATTTCTGAATGTAAAGGTTTAAAATAAATCAAAATAAACATTAAGGCATACAAAGCTGCTTTAAGTCTGCTCTCATTTAATAAAGATCAGTTTTTGCTCATATTCAAAATACATGGAATGTTGGCACAAAACTGAAGCTGCTGTAGAAAGATCATAGATGTTGTGGGTTACCGAAACTTCCATTTCTCTACATGGTCTTAATTTTACGAATTTAAGGGTTGAGAAATATCTAAATAATAAGTAACAATTAAAATAAAATGTTTTATTTGTAAATTATGTACAGAATACACTTTACGTTACAACAACGAATTGGGGAGGGAGGGAGGAGGGAGAGCCATCACCTTCCAACCAGTGCTGTTCACTTTCTCTGTTGGAGATGACCATCTTTCTCTGAATCAGATGTACAAATCAGTGTGGATTTCCTACACTGGTAAAAGAATTTAGCTAAACCAGAAGTGTTGCTGGATTGTTACTAGTTGGCTTGTTTCCATAAAATGGTTTTGAACTCTGCTAACTAGGAGTCTTAAGAAATTTCCTGGTAAAATTTTATAATAAAAAATAAAAGCTTAACTATCAAGAACAATGAATTTACGCATCTTAAAGAAACTGTGAAATGGCTACATAACTATGCCTAATCTGAAATGTTGGAGTTTCTTTGTTCCTTTTAAAGTTATTTTTGATTAGTCTAACAGTAAAAAGCCATACAACTATCAAAAATGCCATTAATGTAAATTTAACTGTGGAAAGTACATATTTGATAACTGTCAAAATGAATGAGACCTACTTACTGTAAAATTATCAAATGGATAAAATGTATTAATGGCTTTAAACTGTACCAATAATAGTGCCAATATTCTACAAAACGAAGGACTGAATAGAACTGCTTCAATGTCGAATACATTTCAGTAAACAGAATTTAAAGAATGCTACAAATGCCATGTGTTTAATATAATAATCAGCCAACATAGAAAATCCAACCCCTTGTACTTATTCATTCAGTCCCAAATTAGTCAGATTATGATTTTTCATGTGAAGGTTTAGGTGTTTCCCCATCACTGTCTTCCTCCTCCTCTTCACAATCCCCATCTGTTTGCTGTTCCAGTTCCTCTTTTGTTATCATTTCAAAATCATTTCCATTTCCACTGCTGTGCTGGGACCGATCGTCTTCCCTCCTGTCACTGTCCGTGTCTGAATGCCGCTCTCCTCCCGAGCCTTCTGTTCCATGATTTCCTGGTCCTACTTTCCCCTCCTCATCTTCCTTTTTCTCACTGTCTGACTTTTCCTCACTGTCGGACTTCTGCTGCTTTTTGGTTTCAGATTTCTCATCTTTCTTTAAGTCTGCTTTTGGTCCTTTGTATTCATGTGTGTACAGAGGCCTGAAGGAGTCAATGAAGCCCACATCAGCAGTCAGATTTGGCAAGAACCAAAAGTGGTGCCTTCCTCCAGTTATGAGCCAAATGATGAGAAACAGAATGCATCGAGCTGAGGGGAGAAACATTTCTCTAATTGAGTAATTCAAACATTGCCTCAGAGAGAATATTTGTTAATGAAAAGCTGGGAAAACAGTTTTATTATTTGCATATTTCATACACCTTAAATATGAATATTTAAAGCACTGGGAGTGCTAATCCCAGCTACTTGGGAGGATCACTTAAGTCCAGGAGCTCAAGGCTGCAGTAAGCTACAGTGAGCTATAATTACACCACTGCATGTTTGAAAACAACAAAAAAATTTCCTGACTAGTGTAGCAGCTATCACAGTATTCTAGGGGCAGAACACTTTGCTCTGAACTTGAGGACACAATGCAATAATGTCACTCTGAAAAAAATTACTTATTTTTTCCATCTGGGTGTTGTTTCATGGCTATGCACCTCTGATGTATGCACTTGTGATACTATGCTTCAATACACATAGCAATCAGTTAGAAATTTAAGTATACATAAGATCATGGTGTAGGAAAAGAAGACTAAAATTAAATTATAAAAGATGTTCGGGAAGAAAGCCTTTAAGAAGGAAAAAGAAGGACTGCATCATGACTTCCCAAGGCCCTAACCCATTTTGCCTTTGTAAGGACTTCCTCCACAAAAGCTAAAAATTATATAACATATTTATGACTATATTTTCTATACATCTGTATAAACAAAAAAATACTGCATAGGCCGGGTGCGGTGGCTCACATCTGTAATCTTAGCACTATGGGAAGCCGAGGCAGGCACATCAGGAGGTCAGGAGTTTGAGACCAGCCTGACCAACATGGTGAAACCTCATCTCTACTAAAAAAAAAAAAAAAAATTAGCTGGGCATGGTAGTGTGTGCCTGTAATGCCAGCTACTCAGGAGGCTGAGGCAGGAGAATTCCTTGAACCTGGAAGGCAGAGGTTGCAGTGAGCCAAGATCTTGCCACTGTACTCCAGCCTGGGCGACAAAGCGAGACTCCATCTCAAAAAAATAAAATAATATACTGCAAAGGTTTACTATGATATACATGTATATACATTACTACTTCTGATTAAAAATATATATATATATTTCTGTGGACCCCTATGTGTATCTTGGTCCAAGGCAGATGCTTACTTTGTCTAAAGGATAAATTATCCCTGGATAAAGAATCCCAGTATTAGAAAGTTCCATCTTTTAATCCTTTTTGTCTTATTTATTGTTGAGGACAACGTCTTTCTTGTTCTGTTGCTCAGGTTGGAGTGCAGTGGCACAATCATGACCTGCTGCTGCCTCAACCTCCTGGGCTCAAGTGATCCTCCCACCTCAGCCTCTAAGTAGCAGGTACATGCCAACCATTCTCGGCTAAGTTTTGTATTTTTTGTAGGGATAGGGTCTTGCCACATTGCCCAGTCTGGTCTTGAACTCCTGGGCTCAAACTCCCAAAGTACTAGGATTACAGGTATGTATCTATCATTTATCTATCTAATCTCTCTCTCTCTCATCTACCTACCCTCCCTCTCTCTCTCTCTTTCTCCCCCCCCCCCACCTCTTTCCCTCTCCCTACTTTTAGAGACAGGTTCTTGCTATGTTGTCCGGGCCAGCCTTGAACTCCTGGCTTTAGGTGATCCTCTCACCTCAGCCTCTCAAGTAGCTGGGATCACAGCTGTGAGCCACTGAATCTGATCTTCCTGTTTTATTAATTAGGTAAATTACATACTTTTTTCTTTTTAAAGACCAATCCTCTCAATATTAGGAAAAATACAATGTTAATGAAAGCAAGAACACTTAAACACATAAGGTTTACTCTTTGATAATACTATGACAGAAAAATGGAATTTGAATTTTAAAATTTGTAGTAATGACTTCCACTTCTGACTCTTATTGGTTCTCAAACTCAGAAACACTGAAAAGCCTGATTAAAAGAGATATGCAGGGAGAGGATCCAAGATGGCTGAATAGGAATAGCTCTGGATTGTAGTTCCCAGCAAAAAATGCAGAGGGTGAGTGATCACTGCATTTCCAAATAAGTTATTGTTGCCCACAGACCAGGAGATTCCTGGGTGGAAAAGCACCATGAGTCTCCAGCGCAGCTGTTTCAGCTGGTGCAGCAGGTCTCCACACAAAAACTCACACAAATCCGGGCGCCATTTCAACTGGCGACTGGAACGCCTGAGAGACAGAGTCGCCCGTTCAAATGAAAAAAAGGGGGCTGAAACAGGGAGCCAGGTGATCTGAAACACTCTGGATTGAGAGCAAAGACCAGCAATCTGGAACACTCTGGATTGAGAGTTTCACAGCAAGCACAGCTGGACCCAGGACAGTCCAGCTCTGTGGAGGGGAAGGGCATCTCGAGGCAGTCCGCCACTACTGAGGCAGACCGCCGTTACAGTGGCAGACCGCCATTACCGAAGCAGTTCTACCTATAACCCTATAAACAAAACTGGAAGGAAGTTTACACGGCAGCTGGACAGAGCCCATGGCAGCTCAGCAACGCCTCTGCTGGCAGACTGTGACTAGGCTACCTCTTTGCTGGGCAGGGCATCTCTGAAAACAAGGCAGAATGACAGGAACTTATAAATAAAGCCTCGCCTTCCCAGGACAGAGTACCTGGGAAGAAAAGGCGGTTATGAGATCCGCTGCAGCAGATTTAAAAGTACATGCCCAGCAGCTCTAAACAGAATAACGGAGCTCACAGCTCAGCACTTCAGTTCCTGTAAGGGACAGACTGTCTCCTCAAGCAGCTCCCCGACCCCTGTATAACCAAAGAGACACCTCATAAAGAAGCTCACACTGACATCTGGTGGGTATCCTTCTGGGACAAAGATAACAGAAGAAGAAACTAGCAGCAACCCTTACAGTTCTGCAGCCACTGCAGGTGATCCCCAGGCAAGCAGGGTCTGGAGTGGACCTCCAGCAGTCCTGTAGCAGGGGGTCCTGACTGTTAGAAGGAAAACTAAGAAACAGAAAGAAATAACTTCATCAGCAACAAAAAGGACATCCACTCAGACACCCCATCTGAAAGTCACCAACCACAAAGACCACAGGCAGATAAATCCACAAAGATGGGAAGAAACCAGCTCAAAAAGGATGAAAATACCCAAAACCAGAACGCCTCTCCTCCTCCAAGGGATCACAACTCCTCACCAGCAAGGGAACAAGGCTGGATGGAGAATGAGTGTGATGAATTGACAGAAACGGGCTTCAGAAGGTGGATAATAAGAAACTTCTCTGAGCTAAAAGAACATGTTCTAACCCAATGCAAAGAAACTAAGAACCTTGAAAAAAGGTTTGACAAAATGCTAACGAGAATAAACAACTTAGAGAGGAATACAAATGAATTCATGGAGCTGAAAAACACAACATGAGAACTTCGTGAAGCATACACAAGTTTCAATAGCCAAATCAACGAAGCAGAAGAAAGGATATCTGAGATTGAAGATTAACTCAATGAAATAAAATGATAAGGCAAGATTAGAGAAAAAAGAGTAAAAAGAAATGAACAAAGCCTCCCAGAAATATGGGATTATGTGAAAAGACCTAACCTACGTTTGGCAGGTGTATCTGAATGTGATGGAGGAAATGAATCCAAGCTGGAAAACATTCTTCAGGATATTATCCAAGGAACTTCCCCAACCTAGCAAGGCAGGCCAACATTCAAGTCCAGGATATATAGAGAACACCACAAAGAAATTCCTCAAGAAGAGCAACCCCCAAGGCACATAATCATCAGATTCACCAGGGCTGAAATGAAGGAAAAAAACGCTAAGGGCAGCCAGAGAGAAAGGTTGGGTTACCCACAAAAGGATGCTTATCAGACTCACAGCGGATCTCTCAGATGAAACCATACAAAGGCATAAGAGAGTGAGGGCCAATATTCAACATCCTTCAAGAAAATAACTTTCAACCTAGAATTTCATATCCAGCCAAACTAAGCTTCATAAGTGAAGGAGAAATGAAATCCTTTATGAACAAGCAATTGCTCAGTAATTTCATCACCAGCAGGCCTGCTTTACAAGAGCTCCTGAAAGAAACACTAAACATAGAAAGAACAACCAGTACCAGCCACTCCAAAAACGTACCAAATGGTAAAGAGCATTAACACAATAAAGAAACTACATCAACTAATGGGCAAAACAACCAGCTAACATCAAAATGACAGGATCAAATTCACACATAAAAATATTAACCTTAAATGTAAATGGGCTAAATGTCCCAATCAAAAGACACAGACTGGCAAACTGGATAAAAAGTCAAAACTCATTGGTGTGCTGTATCCAGGAAACCTATCTCACATGCAAGGATACACAGAGGCTCAAAATAAAGGGATGGAGGAAGATCTACCAAGCAAATAGAGAGCAAAAAAGAGCAGGAGTTGCAATCCTAGTCTCTGATAAAATAGACTTTAAAGCAACAAAGATCAAAAGAGACAAAGAAGGACATTACATAATGGTAAAAGGATCAATGCAACAAGAAGAGCTAATGATACTAAATATATACGTGTCCAATGTAGGAGCACCCAGATATATAAAGCAAGTACTTAATGACCTACAAAGAGATTTAAACTCCCACACAATAATAGTGGGAGACTTTAACACTCCACCATCAATATTAGACAGATCAACGAAACAAAATTAACAAGGATATCCAGGACTTGAACTCAGACCTGGACCAAGCAAACCTGATAGATACTGACAGAACTCTCCACCCCAAATCCATAGAATATACATTCTTCTCAGCACCACATCACACCTACTCTACAATTGACCACATATTTGGAAGTAAATCATTCCTCAGCAAATGCAAAAGAACAGAAATCGTAACAGTCTCTCAGACCACAGTGCAATCAAATTAGAACTCAGAATTCAGAAACTAACTCAGAACCACACAACTTCATGGAAACTGAACAACTACCTCTTGAATGTTGACTGGATAAACAATGAAATGAAGGCAGAAATAAAGATGTTCTTCAAAATCAATGAGAACGAAGACATAACATACCAGAATCTCTGGGACACATTTAAAGCAGTGTCTAGAGGAAAATTT